GGTACCAGTTTAGCTTTGTCGGAGAGAAGAGGTTTTGTTTGGCCTGGGCGGGATCTGACCTAAGATTTGATCCTTGGACTGTATGCGTGGTGAGCGTGCCACTTGCCACTCCACCACCTCCGCCTCATGAGAATAAGGTACGCTTACCTAATAAGTATCTCAATACGCAATGTAAAGTGAGGGGGAGAACTTGGCGATCAATGACTCCCGTGTTGCGCCGTGCACTTGACTCCCACAAAAAAGACAAATGTCGTTTGAATGACCGAAAATGCGAAGAATACAGGAAAAACCTTGACCGGCGCAACCTCCGCTCATAATGTGGCAGGGCACCTTAAGAAAAGTAAATTCCGGAATTTCGACTGCTTCCCGATTTGAAATTGCCTTTTTCCATAATAAGAATGATAGAGGTTAAACACGGCTGGAAAGGACGAAAGCGTCTCATATTCAGGCTCGTTGATAACGCAAGCGCTAGGTGTACCGTTTGCCGACGATACCCTCTGGCCATTGATCTTCTTGCCAAATGTCGCTTTTTGTTATTGTCTCGATGATTATGTTCGGATTTCTTTACGATTCGCCTCAGTACATCATGCAGAAGACAGGAGACCCGGAACAAGTGAGTGCTTGGACCTATCGTACATTGAGCCCTGCAAAAATATATTCGAATAATAGGCTAGAAAAGCTCTAGCTGCTTATCACGGAGTCGATGTTTCTGATTCTTCGATCGACACTGAAATTCGCATTTGTGAAGAGGCATTAACGAAGGAGAAGTCCAAAAAAGAGAGGTCAGTAAATCTCTATTTGAATTTGTAGCGCTGACCTAAAAATGACTGGTGCAATCACTCCTGTGAAAAATATTTCTCGATATCCTTCACGAAAATGATGGGGAAGTTTCCTCCATGTACCCACGTTGAACTCTGGATTTCTAGCGACTTCGAGGATCCTAATGTATAGTTTCGGTTTCTGTCAAGGCTATGTAGAGATATCTTATAGTTAGATATCGACCTGCTCTTTCGGTGCACCTTACACTGCAAGAGCAGGCCGATGTCTAAACGCAAAAAGCACCTTAACATAGAAGGCTGCAACTGTTTAGGCAGCGCAGTTATCTTCCTGAACTTACCTTTTGGGTACCAATCTGTCAAAGCCAGGAAGTCAGGGGAGCGGTGCAACCTGAGCGATTCCTGTGCAAGGGTTATGTAGTGCGGAGTTCCACGGTGAGGCGACGCGGCTGAATATGCACCAGAACCACGAGAACTGGTAGCGCTCTGCCGAATGACGTGCACTACAGAGCACTACCTCTTGAGAGGTCGTTTCCGTGGTGCCGCAACAGAGTGGAGCTCCTACAGTACACCGAACGGGCATGCAGCGTGATTTCTGGACCCACTGCGCTATCTGAAACCAGCCTTAGGCCTATACAAAATGAGTCGACATTCCCTCAAGTCAAGCAGTGAGCGCAAATGAGAAAAGTAGGAGCTCATCTAGCATTTCAGGCGGACCTTGGCGTTATCGACACTGAGCACAGTTCGCTTGCCATACTTTTCATGCCATGGAAAGCACGTGATCCGCTGTCCCAGGTAATTCGTCATGGAGCCTGGCTAGGCGTGATGGTCAAGGTGAGATGTTCACTAAGTTCAATGAGGAATTCACTTGGAATTACATGAATTTCAGATAGCTTATGTATTCACTGGAGCAAGGTGTATCCGCGCATATACAACATTCATTCTCTACTCAATGGCTGGTTGGTCACACAAAGCTGCACTATTTGAGTCGCTGATGATAGGTAAACGTGCTATTAAAAATTTTTCAAAAGCACTAGTAAGATGCTGAGTTTGTTTGGAGGGTGGGGTTGAGGGGAGTCCCCATCTTGTACCCGTGCCTGTTTGCACACTCCTAAGGCTGCGTTTTATACTTTGCGGCAGCGTAGCGTAGCGCTTCCAGCGTACGCCAGCAGTGCTGGGGAGAGGATGCATATCGATCTAGCGTTCCCAGCGTCACCAGCGTCACGCTAGGCGTTAACGCATCGGTTTTGTCTCCCACGCGTTTCCCCCAGCGTTTCTCCTTAGGACGTTTGCAGCGGCAGGGGAGTAGAGACTATGGGAGAGCTGCAGGGTACAAAACACATCGATTGCGCGTCTCTGACGGCCACATAGTCTCTACAATACACATCGAATTCCGTTCTCCGACGGCCACAATAGTCTCTACAATTACACGTCAGATTCCGCGTCTTACGGCCACATAGTCTCTACTCCCCTGCCGCTGCAAACGCTAGCAAAACGCTGGTGAAACGCTGGAGAAACGCTGGCGTAACGCTAGCGTACGCTAGCGTGACGCTGGTGACGCTGGGAACGCTAGATCGATATGCATCCTCTCCCCAGCGACGCGCTGCGTACGCTGGAAGCGGCTGACCGTACGGCTGCAGCAAAGTGTCACGCAGCCTAAATGGAAATGATGATTCGTATGTATTCAAGCTGGCTGCACAACTTTCCGCGTGACCTAACAAAGCAAATATGGTACCCGGGGCTCACACACACTACACACTGCTCTCACCCCTCTTCGCCCCAGCCCTCGCCGCGCACACACAGGTACTATCACACACACACAAATATATAACATTTCTAAAGCACGAAACTACATACGCTGAATACTCAAATACATAGATATAAGAGAGAATCCCTGTTCCTGGGAGATGTTTGGCCCTTGGCCAGCCACGCAGACCATTTTGCCCTTTGCTCATCTCTTCCCTGCTAATCTCTTGGTGGATTACACGTCCTTCTGAGGCTGTAGAGTCGCTAAGGTAAGCTGTGAATGAAGCTCATTGCATGCAGCTTCACAGGAAATAACAAGTCTCCCCGGCCGCAGAATGTATCGCTGGAACGCCGTGACAACATGAGCACAAAAACACCCACACTCACCGCGCCGAACTCCGCGCCGCTTTCTGCTCTACTCGTAAAGTCTTAGTCTGGGCTACCTTTTGCTACTGCACGTATGAATCCCAAGCTATGTCCGTGCGTGTGTGTCTGTGTGTCCGTCTGTCTGTTGGTCACGAATTAATGGAGCAACACATATTAGTAAGAACCTGGAGGCGGTCGGGTCATGGGTGGCGATGAGTAGAGCAATGGTACAACAAAAAATTAAATAGCAGCCATGACCCATGGTATAGCCCGGATTTTGGGCATTGTACTTGAACGCTAACAATTCCTTGTGTTCATTTCAAACACGCAAGTCGATCAGCAATCCCAGGCGCTGTCATCGGTAGCGGAACAGGAGCTTGTCTCCTGCTATTATCAGCTTCGGTGATCAACATAAGAAGAAAAACGATAAGTGATGGAAAACCCCTTTCCGACTTAGGCCACAAAACCATCCTTGCATCTCGAAACCCTGCTGACATACGGACTTAGCAGACGATAGGATTTAAGTAAACGTCTGTGACCTCAGACTGGCCATGCCGTAATTGTACCCTTCACAAACTGGGCCGAGAGTTCATATTATTCTCTAGATTTAAGGTTTAATTGTATATTTGCTTTCAGACGATCGCTATTTGACTTAGTCAGTGAGGGTCGAGTGTTTTAAACCCACCCTACCCATTGGAGGATCATTTTTGATTTTGTTTAGTGCGGTTTTTTTTTTTTTGGCACTATGAGACCATAAGTGACACTCTGCCGATGGAGAACAGCTCAAACATTCGAACAATCAACCAAAACAATAAACAAATCAAAAGTGGGTAACAAGACCCGCCGTCATGCAGTCAAATTAGCGATGAAGAAGCAAAATATACAATAAACGTATCAAATTAAGTCTTAATAATATGACTCACTTGTTCCCTTCTTAGTGTAAGAATAAAAGGCCAAATAGGAAAAATAATCGCTGAAACTCAGGTGATCATTGACAGCTCGTCGCAGCTCTACTGGCAGCCGGGTGGCCGGCCGGTCGCGTATCCGAGTGAAGTCCGACCAATTTACGGATGGCCATCATGAGGGATCACGATGTACGTATTATGCACACCACCAGTCTTTGGCATGTGGACTTTCGATAATGAAATTAAATAATGCTCGAATGAACAGAATGGAGTGTGCTCTCTGTAATTCCATGCCCTATTGCTTCCACGAATGAATACACTGAGACTCAATAGATCTCCACCGACAAAAATCGTTCCTGTATGACATTAGGCGGATTTGGCTGGGGTATGTGAGAGCTAGCGAGCTGGGAACGGTTTTAGCTTTCCCCTTCACCTCTCTCAACCCCTCAAAATTTTTTATTCTGTCTGCAATTATTATGAATACTTGGACTAACGAAGATTTTCAGGAATAGCTCGATTGCCTACCACACTCATACCGGTGTTACTTGTTGACCGCTTCGGTAGGCGGCCACTGCTTATCATTTCCACTATGGTCTGCTTTATTTCGCTGGGGCTAATGATTGTTGGAATCGATATAGGCCCAAGTTGGAAGGTTCGGTTTTTCCACAGCGTCATGTGCATTACAGCAACCAAGAAGCTTCATTTATAGGTTGCAACACTTGTCGGCTTGAGCACAGTGCTTCTAATCAGTGCATGTGGAATCGGATCGCTTTCACGTTTCTATGCCGCTGAACTGGTCCCAAGAAGTATTCTCTTACAATCAACTTCAATACTAACTATGTTCGAAGCGCTCACGAAGATCGCTGTCGAGTTCGCCTTCTATCCTTTGGCCAATGTGGTAGGTAGTTCCAGATTGATCAAACAAGTAATCTGGTGTGTTCAAAGAGTGGTTTGACACTTTTAGTGGCAAGTTCTCAGTGAATCATGCCTCTAGTTACATTAAACAGTGAGACATATTAAGCCCTTTACATAAAAGCCACAGCCACACATGCGATGGGGCGGATTTATCGGCGGGTTACTGTTATTTGGAAAAATCTGATATTCGAGGCGTACGGGAGTACGATGATTAGGCGATGAACATCGAGATATCACGTAGCTCCTGCTTTGCATTTTTCTCTGGTTTCATGCGGGGTATCTCCAGCGCCCCCATTATTTTCCTCTCCAGCAGCCGTACCAAATATCTATGTGGTACACTCACATCGAACCATAGAGCATTGTCATTCGCGTGCCTAAGTATACGATGCCAGCAGAAACTGCTTCGTGGACAAGCAGTGGGATTCGTGATCGTTCTTCCGTGCTCGTCCAGTCGATTCTGTAAAGGTCATGGGGTCCATTGGATGGTTTGCTTACCACAACCTTCGCATTGGTCCAGGTGAACGGTGCCCTGAAAATAGCAAATGTTCTCAGATGTACGGTATCAATAGTATTGTTCGTGACACCAACTTTCATAGGTTAGGTTTAAAAAAGAGAAGCTGTCATGATATATTTCGCCGATCTAGCACTCCAGTTTGGGCACCCAATTTTAGTGGAAGCAGAGAAAAAACCAAGAGGACAATCGTATAGGGCAAGAAATTCTCTGCAAAGTAAAATAAAATATAATGGCAAATTCTTCATCTTTATCGCGATATTTTGAGTGGAGAAAAACGTCATTAATCATGGGCCAACCTAATACATGCGCTTGTCACCGCAACGTAGACCTCCTGACCGGCAGCCATCGCCATCTGAAGAATCTTTTATTTGAGGCGACATGCCCTTCAACGGTACACTCCAGGATTCAGCACTCGAATTTCAGTAGAAAATGGCTATTTGGAGGAGAGGGAGCAAGAGATGGTTCTCTAAATTAATCGAAACATGAAGCTTCATTTGGGAAACCGTGCGCACATGAATCATGTAGGCGAAGAAAGACAACCATTGTGCCATTCTCACTTGTCCTCCTTCCCTTCATTGTCTTAGGAAAGGATCATTAATGAGGAGTGTGCGGTTTTGTATCTCCGCCCATAGGCTCGGAGTCAATTGTGCGATTAACTTGATAACCTGAATCTCATGTGACAATGAGCTTACTGCATATGCATCATTGCTTCCATTACGCGTAACTCCATAAAGACGAAGATGGTATCGTGGCAGGGGCGCCACTTCCACCAGCGATTTCGTTTTAGTCGCCCCGCGACAAGCTAATTCACTTTTCTCTGAACGACAGCTGAAAGCTCCCTGGGCAGGGAGTTTAAAAGTACCGACTCGGCCATTACCAAAATCTGCAGGTTAAGTAGGTGATACTGACACTGGCACTGACACTGATAGATCGGGTCCTCTTTTGAATGTCTGTGCAATTCTGACTTAATGTCAAATACGTGGCTCCTCCTCACATGGAATATCAAAGCTAAGCAGTTTCTCCTTCATTTTTGTATCATTTCAGATTAATGGACAAGCGCTGCTACTATTCTTCATTCCAACGGCAGTTTTTATGATCCTTATGTGGATGTGTCCAGAAACAAGTAAACGAACCGTCAATGAGGTATAACAATGAAACTTTAGAAGGAAAGTGGGAACATTTTTTGCATTATCTTCAATTTCAGGTAATGAATGATATTGCCCAGAGGAAGAAATTGGATCTCGTCATTCCGACCTAACAAATGCCAGATTTCGTGATGAACTCACTTTCTGCCATGAAAGCTGCACTGGAACGACTCACAGATGTTTTACTAGCAACTTTTAACAAATGTAATTAACGATTAATAGGAGCCTCGTACGGAAATACTTGCATTAATTGCAATAACTTTGATTGAACGGGTTTGATGTGCAGAATCTCTACTTCACTGCAATTAGGGGAAATGTAATAAATACTTGTAATAATAATAATATGTTCATTCTCGGTGTGTTAAACCTCGGGTCACCTCTGACCTGAATGACCGAGCCTTCTTCCCCTCGTGGTCGACTGACAATGAACCTGTTGCGCTAGCATCAGACCGCCAGACAGCGTCCTAATGCCAACTATAACTGCAAACGTAATTAGGCTGTCCGGAAAGTTCTCAGCGTTTTGTGCACCTATTTTTTGTACATTCACTGCTGATTAAAAACTCATTCTGCCTTGCTTCTCAGTAGCACATCCTGTAGAGAATTTCTTGCGCTATCTGATGGTATAATTGCCGTTTCACCATTGCTTGATAACCCCCTTTTTCAAGATTTTTTCAAGCATGTGAAAAGAGCACTTCGGACGATTTTTTCTTCGACTATAAATTGGGGCAATCCGCAATCGAAACAGCTCAACAAATTAACCAGGTGTGGGGCCCAATAGTGCTAGAGAAAGCACTGTGCGGCAATGGCTCAACAAATTTCGTTCTGGAGATTTCAGCCTTGAAGATGAACCTCATAGCGGTCGACCTAAAGCAATATCTGACGAGGATTTTAGGGGGATTTTGGAGGCTGACCCATCCCAAACAGTTCGAGAGATAGCAGAAGAGCTAGGCCTTGCCGAATCCACTGTTGCAGATGGTCTGGAACGCATTGGGAAGGCGAAAAAAACTCGACAATTGGGTGCCCCACAATCGGAGTGACCGGCAGGAAACGATCAAGGGGGGGGGGGGGGCGTCTCGAGGTTCCTTTCTGCATTGCTTTTGCGCAGCAGAAACGACCTGTTTTTGGGCCGAATTGTCACCTGTGATGAAAAATGGGTCATGTATGATAACAGGAGACGTTCCGGACAGTGGTTGGATTTCGACGAACCACCGAGGTAATTTTCAAAGCCGAACCCTCACGAAAAAAAGATTCTGGTCAGCCAACACTTATCAAAAGAAAGGGTCCGATTCCTTTTGCATGACAACGCCCGCCCACACGTTTCACAAATCACTATCCATAAATTGAACGAATTGGGGTTGAAGTTCTACCTCAACCGCCATATTCTTCAGACCTTTCGCCAACCGACTATCACCTTTTCTAACATTTTCAGAACTCCCTTGCTGGAAAATACTTCATCAATCAGGACCAGGCAAAAAAGCCTTCGTGGATTTCGTGAATTTTCGACCACCCAGTTTTTTACTTTGATGGGATTTCTCAACTGCTGTCACATTGGCAAAAGTGTGCTGATTCGAATGGTGCCTATTTCGATTAAATCCGATGAGTATTAAAGAAGTTAGGATCGTCTAAAAGTGAAACACCCAAAACGCTGAGAACTTTCCGGATAACCTAATATCTGCACCGCGCGACGATTGAGACGGTCTTGTCCTGCACGCGGGAGGGCTACTGGGAGTCGGAGTCCCAAACCATTTTTGCAAGGCCGCCTTTATGCCGGTAGGAGGTGGTTCCCCAATTCGGGCTCATCAGGTCAAAGTTGCAAAATGTTGTGAATTTCATATCGACTTGAATTCCATCTGTTGAAGAATTATGAGATAATTCTATGCATCTGGCAGAGAAGGATATGGTGCAGTGGCAAGATGCCAACCCACAACCCGAGAAATTCAACTACGGATTGGCTCTCGCCCAGGCTAACATACCTTTTTACCCTCTGAAGATAGGACACTAGTATCATATTCGTCGGGCAGAATGAAAGTGCTGCCACGAACATCAGCTGGCCGTCCAAGTAATTGCGTAAGCCACTTCGATAAGGCTATGATTCTGGATAGAAGTGAAATGCGTAACGCAACCCAAACGTTGATTGATGAACGGCGAAGCTGGCTGTTTGTGCTTTATGTTTGTTACTGCTGACTAACGAATAAAAACCTGAAACAGAAGAGGGGAAGTAAAATCTTCCAAATTTTTCAGCGTTATATGGCTCTTCATACTCAAGGCAGGTGGAATGGCATTAAGATTCGCATAACTGTTTGGCAGTTTCCCCTGCTCCCTTCAGCAATTTATAATTTTTTCTGTGGGTATGTCCGGAAACAAGTCGACGAACAGTCGATGAGGTGAAACTATAACCCTTTAGATAGTAAAGCGAGAAAATTTTCGCATCACCTCCAGAAAATGAATGATATTGCCGAGAGCAAGAGACTGGTTCTCGTCATACTACTAATCTCGTGAAGCACTCACTTGCCATGGAAGCTGCACCACAACGACTCACGGATACTTTCTAGCAAATTCTAGCCAGAGAAATTAATGATTAAACGGAACCTCATGCAGGACTACTACTTGCATCAACTGCAATAACTACAAACTTTTAATGGGTTTGATGTGCAGAGTCCCCTCATAGTACTCGATTGACAACGAACTTATTAGGCGACGTTCAGTCTTCGCGACGGCGTCGCTCGCTCGCGCGAGCACTAACAATAAATCCCTATCGTGCGACAGACGCGGAGCGATCGCGTCCTACGAGGGAGCGAACGACTGCCGTCGCGAACACTGAACGCTTACGGTATAAAATAGCTTGTATGCATCCGGATGGCTAGTCATTGTGTGGACCAGATCATCCTTGCAATTTCAGCACGATTCTGAACGTGTGCCGCATCCAGGAGTGACTGATTTTGATCGTCACCTAAAGGCAAAGTTCTATATCACTTGCTATCATAGACAGTGGATAAGGGGTCCGCACATGGACGACAAGTAAGTCTTGAGTAGGCTGATAGTGAGGAAAAAGTATAGAAAACATCTCAATAGCCCAAGATATAACACCGCCCTGATTCTTATGAAATCGACGCTTTGCTACGGATTCAAAAAGTAGGGCGGTATCGTGGAATTCCATTCGGTCTTATAGTTCTGCGCGCGTTCCATCCCCAAAAACCACTCGCTCATAAGCACCGCTAGTTTGCTTACAAGAAATACACATCCGTACAGGCGCCGATTTTATGCTTTTTTTGTTTGACAGCTTAGCTTTTAACTAAAAGCCAGGCCTTGAAGGCAAAGTATCGAGGCGGAGTCACTTGAAGAGATGTCACTTAAAGACAGCTCCCGCGATAAAAGTGTCGGGGGTGGCATTTTGCACTTTGACGACTTCCCATCGACGTGTCGACCCATCTAGACAGCCTCTTCTCGAGTTGACAGGTTTTACCATGATGGCGAGCTTGCTCCAGCTTCACAAGAGTTCACAGGTTTCACCAGAGTGAGACTTGTAAACCAGGTGAAGCAACGAAAGTGCAGAATGCCCCCTCGCCCCCCCCCCGTCGGCAAACTGCGCCGCTGATAAGTAATCCCCGATGAAGAAAAAAAAGCAAGAAGAGTCCTCAAGAACACCATAAACAAAATCGCTCCCTCACAGTCACACCTCCCTGCGGTCTCTGTGCAACCCCTAGCTCACAAATCTCTCTATCACATCTCGCAGTAGTTGATATCATCCAGTGCAAAGAAAAGAATACAAAAACAACAGAAACACAGAGGAAAAACTCTTGGAAAGAAAAGAAACTTTTAAAAACTCGTCCGAATTTAGGGTTACGGTAGCGTGCATATTTTAGTGTAGTGAAGTGCGTCGAGCTTTTGCACCACGAAAATTGGGTCGCTCGTGATTTTTACGCGTTTTACCTTGCGAAATGGGTTGGAGTTGACTGTATGTGCCCCTAATGAATAAAATGTAATAAAGGAGAGCAGAATCATTCATGGGCACGAGCGCGGTCAGCGAAAAGGGCATGCGATTCCGATTAATGCCCGCCGCCCCAACAAAGAACAACTGAGCCCTCCGTCAGAGGGCATCTAGCAAGTGGGCGGTCCAACTGAGCGGGCGTTAGAACTAGAACTTTCAGCGGCTGTAGCTCGCTAATCGCTCGCTGTGGAGTTGCGAGAGGACTGTCTCTAGCTTGGGGCTGTACTACTTGCACAAGGAAGGGCG